ATTCCCCCCCCCGTTCCCCCCCCCCCCCCAGATCTGCTTCCCATGGACTCCGAGGAGCAGAGCAGACCCCGCAGAACACCTCTCCAGCCGGTGGTGCAGCTGAAGGCCCGGAAGAGGCCAGAGAAGGTGCGGCTACAGCAAGGGAGGGGCAGGGTCTTATCCTAGTAGAGCATTAAGTGGGCTTCCATGCTGCAACTTTATTGTGGCGTATAGGAAGTTTTGAAATGGGACGAGACTGTACCTGGGATGGAAAAGGATCCATCCCAGGAATTTGGTGGTAAAAGGGTTCAAACCTGCCTTGTGCCCTTCAACTAGCGCTGTGTCTTTGGACAGAGGTGGTGGCTGGTTTTACACCAGAGTCTGAGCAGAATTCCGTAGGGAGGCTTCCCTCAAAGGCTTCTTGATGTGATTTCTAGGCTGTTCGGGCTTTATTTGGCAGTTCAGTTCTATCTTGAAATTCTATCCTACTCTTCCTCCCAGGAGCTCGGGGCTCTGCCCTTTCTGTGCCATCCTCACAACATTTCTGTGATGTAGGCAAGGCTTAAGAGAGTGACTGACCCAGTTCCATGCAGTGAACTTCACAGAGGAGTGGGGGATTTGAATCTGGGTCTCTCTCAGCCCCACCTACCTCAAAGGGTTTCTGCTGTGGGGAAGGGAAGGGAAAGGAGTTTGTAAACCGCTCTGAGACACCTTTGGGTAGTGAAAGGCGGGGTATAAATCCAATCTCTTCTTCTTCTCTTCTTCTTCTTCTAAGGAGATTTTTTTTAGTTACTGTGGTCAGCATGTTCTGTCTTTGTACATAAGACTTGGGAGCACAAGGAAAGTAGCATAACAAGTGCTGTAAAAATGCAAAAGTTAAGCAGAAATCCCATTTCCTCACCCGATGGACTTGGGAGCTCCTGTCCCTTCAGGGGGCAAAGCCACTTGTCGCGTCTCCCGCTTTTACGCTCTCATTACACAGAATGTTTTGCAACAATCCGTTTTACCCTCACCCCTTCTTTCATTGTCCTCTGTCAGGATGTCTCCTCTTCTGGCACCCTCCCGTCCATCTCCAATGGCTGGAATGGGAAGCAGAAATCTACGGACGGCGTCCACCGGCTCAGAGTGGATTTCAAGGTAAGGGAAGAGTGTCCGGCTGCAAGGCAGCCTCTGGAACCACCCTGACATTTAGCCCCAAATTCTTCAGAAACTGGCAGGCAACTGAAGCGCGTCTCACCCCCCCACCCCACCCCCAATTCTGGAAACAAACCAACCCAGCCACAGGTACAAATCCTCTTAAATCCGGCTCGGTGCTAGGGTTGCCAACCCCCAGGTGGTAGCTGAAGATCTCCTGCTATTATAACTGATCTCCAGGAGACAATGATCAGTTCACCTGGAGGAAATGGCCCCTTTGGAAGGTGGACTCTATGGCCTTATACCCCATTGAGGTCCCTCCCCTCCCCAAACGCCACCTGCCTCAGACTCCACCCCCCGAAATCTCCAGGTATTTTCCAATCCGGATCTGGCAACCCTACTTGGTGCCTTCCCCCTCTTCTAACTCACGTTAACAGTGTGATTCTGCCTTGTCTCTCTCTCTCCCCCCTCCCCTTTGAAGAATCAACCAAGAAAAAAAAATTGCCCGCGTTGGTAGGCTTTATTTGGAAGTTGTACCAGGCAATTTGTCCATCTTTGGTGTGTTCCTAAAAATATTTTGGTCCAAAGGTGGCGATTGGTAATTGGGGGGGGGGCAGGCAGTAGAGAAGTATTGGGGGGCAGGCTGTAAGAGGAATATGCATTCCTACCTCCTGTATATTCTGCGCGAAGGATCTGCTTTCAATAGCCAGGGAGGGCACCGGAAGGTGGCTTCAGAAGGGGCTCGTTGCAGTCAGCCAAAGAGAGGCGGTGGCTTTGGCAAGGACCCTGTAAGCCTCCTGTCTGCAATTCTGGGGTCCTCTCCTGCTTTCAGGGATCCTGCACAAGGGCGCCATCTACTCCCCTCCTCTCCCTTTCCTCAATCAAAGTCTTGCTCATAACTATCTCTTCCCTAGCGGGGAAGGGAGCAGTTTGGGAAAGGATTTCCCCCCCCCCTTGGGGTAATATTGATAAATTGCCCTGCGTTATTTGCCAGTTCCTGTTGCGTGCAGCTTGGCTTTCTTGTACGAGTGACCTCAGGCTATATGTTCTGTGAAGTCCTTTTCCTTCCGCCTCTGTCCGTGACATGTTAATGTGGGTTCTGGCGGGGGCGAGCACCGCGAAGGGGCATGTGGGTCCTCCCTTTGGAACTGAGGGTTGGGCTAGATCGCCTTTGGCCCGGGGTCCCCCAATGTCAAGCTGGGCTTCAGATCTGTTGAGAGCACAACGTCCGGGAGAGTTTGCAACCTGCCAGGCCACGAGACAGGCAGTGTTTCTCCCTCGCACTGGGTGCCGCCTTTTGGAAACTTCTCTTTGAGCTGCGAAGCACCAGAGTTCCCCCACCACCACCACCGCAATCAGGCTGGGCACTGAGCTCAGTGCGACATCAGTCGAGGCCCCACCACTACCTCCTAATTATTCTTACTTGCTTCATTTACACCCCACTTTTCTCCCCAATGGGGACCCAAAGGAGCTTATGTCATTCTACATTTCATCCTCACAACAATCCTACGAGGTAGGTTAGGCCAAGTGTGTGCGGCTGGCCCAAGGGTGATCCAGCAAGCTTCCATGGTAGAGTTGAGGTTTCGAACCTGGGTCTCCTAGTTCCTA